ACCACTACAACCCCTACACCCCCCCACAATAGTCCCTATCACACCAACAATTCCCCACAATACAGCACCTTACTCCCCCTCAACACAAACATCTGCCCTTATCCTAATAGATGAATTGCCGAATTGTCGAAGTCCCGAAGTTCCGAAATTCCTGAATTTCCGAAGTGTCGAAGTGCCGAAGTGCTGAGGTTCCGAAGTTGCCGAAGTTCCGAAGTGTCGAAGTGCCGAAGCACAGTATTGCCTAAGAACTAATATACTTACCCAGTGGAAGAAATAAAAAGTATACAAACATAGCCAGGATTCAGCTGTAAACACAACAATCAAGTAATTTTTATTTAATTTTTTTTAACCTTTCTTCATAACTAGAATGGAGCATTTTAGTTATGAAGAAAGGTTAAAAAAATTTAATCTGTTTAGTTTGGAAAAACGGCCCCTGAGAGGGGATATGATAACTTTATACAAATATATTCGGGGCCAGTACAAACCTTTATCTGGAAATCTATTCATAAACAGGGCTATACATAGGACACAAGGTCACACATTTAGGCTGGAAGAAAGGAAATTTCATCTAAGACAAAGAAAAGTTTATTTTACAGTAAGAGCAATAAGGATATGGAATTCTCTGCCTGATGAGGTGGTTTTGTCAGAGTAACTACAGAGGTTTAAATTGCAATTGGATAAATACTTACAAAAACATAACATACAGGTATATAATATCTAATTAGTGGGGTAATAGCTGCTTGGTCCAAGGAGACATCTGACTGCTATTTTGGGGTGAAGAAGGAATTTTTTCCTAGTTTGTGGCAAAATTGGAAGCGCTTCAGACTAGGTTTTTTGCCTTCTTTTGGATCAACAGCAACAACATATGTGAGGAAGGCTGAACTTGATGGACACAAGTCTCTTTTCAGCTATATAACTATGTAACTATGTAAGTAACATACATTCATATAAAGTGTAAGTTACTTAGCCTGTCAATGTAATGACAGGAATGAATAAGTAGATAACTCCCTAATTCCCACGGTATTAGGGAGCTACCTACTAAAAGGCTGAGAGACCTAAATTGGTCTTTCAGCCAAATTTACTAATACTAAGTAAAGATTACTTAGTATTAGTAAATTATGCCCCTACTCGCTATACCGCGAGTAGGGGCATGTCTATTAAACAGTGAGCAGCCTGTGGCTGCTCACTTTAAAAAAAAAAAAAAAAATGGTCTCCCCCTCCTGAGCCCCCACCCATGCTGCACGAGTGGGGGCTTCTAACCTGAAGGGGGGACCTATTGCCCCCCCTGGCCCCCACCCTGTGGGGGCCCTACAGTAAAATAAGGGGGAGAACCTAATGTCCTCCCCCCTGGCCCCCACCACTGAGCAGTGGGTGGGAGCCCTAAATACTAATAAGGGGGTGGAACCTAATATCCTCCCCCTCGCCCCAACCCTTGAGCGGTGGGTGGGGGCCCTAAATTAGAATAAGGGGGGACCTAATGTCCTCCCACTGGGATACCGGGAAATTTCCCGGTGGACCGCGGCACCTGGGGCTGGGCAGACAGCCCTAATCATTGCTCAGGCTCCTGTAATCCCGGCCGGCCATGTGTGAGCTGTGCGGCCGCACAGGGCCCCATGGGAGCAGGGGGAGCAAGGCGGCCGGCACAGCTCAAACATGGCCTGCCGGGATCATTAAAAAAAAAAATAATTTGCGGCAGGGGGCAGAGCTAGCATGTGGCGGGCGGAGCCTATTGTGTGGTGGGGTGGAGCCTACCGTGCGGCAGGGGCGGAGCTTAGCGTGCGGCAGGGGCCCTGGTAACTGCTGCATCAGAAGCAGGAAGGAGTCCCTGCTTCCCCAACAACCAGCCTCCAGGAGCTCCATGGGATGTGGAGGTAAGAAGCAGATCAGTGTGTGTGACTTCCTGTGAGTGTGTGACTGTCTGTGTGTGTGACTGTTTGTGTGTGTGTGACTGCCTGTGTGTGTGACTGTCTGTGTGTGACTGTGTGTGTGTGACAGTGTGTGTGTAACTGCCTGTGTGTGTGACTGTCTGTGTGTGACTGTATATATATATATATATGTATATATATATAAAAACACCCTACAAAGCACAATGACTTATGGGGCTGGCATAGATTTTTTTCCAGGGCTGCTTCATATCCCCAATCCGGCCCTGCCTGCTTGTTAGAACACTAATTTTAACAGTGTTTGTGGGCAAGGCACAGGGGTAATGGACAACACACTTAACACAATGTTCAATAGCAAATTGTGGTAATTACACTCAACATATCTTTTATTAATTTTTAGCTACAGGAAAAGATATGTTTTGTGAATTAGGCTTCTCAAACCATATTATATTATAGGTAAATAAAGAGGGTGACTCTGCATCCTCCACCACATGTTGACTGTATTACACAGGAAAGAGGAGGCATTTTAGAAATTTAAATTAAAATTTCTGTTTATTATTAATGTTGGTATATGGGAAGCCTCTGCTTAAACAAATATATGCATCCATTGTGTAAAAAAGATGGTTGCTATTGTGGATGTTCCAAAAAAGTCAAAATCCAGTGCTTTCTGCTCTCCATTAGAATTTAGAAACCCAATTATTTTAACCAGTCTGCAATATTTTTGTACACACAGGATGTTTGAAAATTTAAATAACTCAAAGAAAATATAATTTTGCTGAGTTTTTATCTGCATTTTAAATTCAAAACACATGTCCAATGTTTACTTACTACAAAAATTTCCCTAAAGCAGGAAGAAGAATTTTCAAAAATAGAAGAGTAATTTCCTGTTAATAAAAAGTTATCATCCGTCTACAAAACCAAATATAAAATATAGAGGTTTAATTCTGATAAATAAAGGTTTGGGAACCTTCAATTAGATCATACAACGGTGTGACTGCCCCATCACAAATCTAGGCAGAATAATGGCATTGTACTGTGTATCCTATCAAAGCCAACATGAACAAGAAAAGTATCTAGTTTCTGGACTAAATAGAATAAAATCCAGTTCTTGTGAACTATTTCAAAAATAGTTTCCAAGGACTATTTTTTGGCAGTTCTTTTATACAGTATATCATTACAAAAAAAAAACATTTTAAAATTTGTGTTAGATGCAATAGGTTTGCAATTTGCAAAAAAGGTTACTTTGTCATATCAAATATTTAGAGTAGTGTTGAAAAAAATGGAGAGCCTAAGATAAATGTATTTTGTGGATTTTAATAAAAGTATTACTAGCTTGCCTAGCAACACAGTAAAAAGCTAAAAACAATGTACAAGGATACAAGTTTAGTACATGTATTATTTGCTTACACCATAATGGACTTGGACATTTCATATTTTCTGCCCAGACACCGAAACACCTTTTTACAGTTGTGCCAATGTTGAATTATAGCTCTTTAATAAAATATTTAAAGGCATGTGTCTCATGATCAATACCTATAATATATGATAAGCTGTCCTATGATGAATCATAAATTTGATAAAGAAGGCTGTGATCAATAACAACTATGATGAACAACCCTTAGACGAACAGTAGTAATATATATGGACCTTGATACCTCTCAAGGACTGCGGGGACAAAGATACAGTGTCTTAAATGCTTTACATGCAGTTCTTTGGGTTATGTTGAACATATCAATCAAATGCAGCCACTAGATCTGCTGTTGACACCAGTACATCAGGAAACAGTATCACTGAGTATGAAGTAGGTGTTCCCAGTAGTCCACAACAGAAAACTGAGCTTGTAGCACAATGTTATTCTAAACATCACTTTATTGAAAAAACTACAGAAAATTACATTGCTCAACATGTCATGAGCAAATATACATTTGGTTATAGGCTTACAAACTAGTCCTGTGATGAACACTACTATGATGAAATGTTCCGTAATGAAAAGTCAAACACATTTAAGATGAAAGTTCTACCAGATCTTTGATGACCAATCCTGTGAAAACCAGTCCTCCCATGGTATTATCAACAACAAAAAACAATCAAAATTGAATTCATTATTTAATAATCTCCAATCTGGAATACTTCAACTCAGGTCTGCTAGGCCTGCCCATTTATTGTTTATACTTTCTCCACATTTTCTTCTTACATTACTTCATCCCCTTCCTGTTTCCAGAGCTTCTTCCATGCTTTGCATTTCCTGTACAATTCCTTACTGCTTTCTGTCAGACTTTCCCCCCTATTCCACAGGTTTTTATGTTCTCTAAAATATAACCTATTCAGATAAGCATTTTTCATGCAACCCGTCTACCTTCTGTCACGATCACCTCAGCCTCCTTCTAGCTGGTGATCTTGCCTCTAATTTCTGTACCAAAATGGAGATATGTATATGTTATGTTAAACTAGGGAATGTCTGTTAAATGTCAGCTTATCTGCAGCCATGTTATATTGTGCAGGATTTTGTGTTTTAGTTCATGTTACTTTGTGTCACAGTTCATGTGAATATAGCTACTTGATATCCTGTCTAATTGAGCATCACAGCCGAGCTAACCATTAGACGGCATAGGCAGGGATGTATCTATCGCGAGGCAAACAAGGCAGATGCCAATTGTTTCTCGGGCATATGGTGAGGGAGCACATTCCCCTGAGCTCTCTCTGCAGTGATGCCGAGAGCCGGAATATGACGTCAGTCCGGCTCCCGGCATCACTCTGCGGTGCGCGAGGGCTGAGCAGGGAGATCACTGTTGAAAACTTAGAGCGCCCGCCCGCCTGCACGTCCGGCCGCCTTCCTGCCCAGCAGCCCCACTGGACCCCAAGGCAATAATCCACCCAGCTATCCCAAAAGTAGAGAGGCTGGGTGGATTTAAATTTAAAAAAAAAAAATAATAATTGTGAGTGCTGGGGGAAAATGTGTGTGTCAATGAATGTGAGTGTGTGTGTGTGTGTGTGTCAGTGAATGTGAGTGAGTGAGTGTGTGTCAGTGAATGTGAGTGAGTGTGTGTGTGTCAATGAATGTGAGTGAGTGTGTGTCAGTGAATGTGAGTGTGTGTGTCAGTGAATTTGAGTAAGTGAGTGAGTTAGTGTGTGTGTCTGTCAGTGAGTGTGTGTGTTTCAGTGAATGTGTGTGTGTCTGTCAGTGTCTGTGAGTGTGTGTGTCTGAGTGATTGTACGTGTCTGTCAGTAAGTGTATGCCTCTGTCAGTGAGTGTATGCATCTGTCAGTGAGTGTCTAGATGATTGTATGTGTGTCAGATTGTGCCAAATCAGTGAGTGTATGTATGTGTATGTCAGTGTATCTGATTGTGTGTGCTGGTCCTTGAGTGTGTGACTGTCAGTCAAAATGTGTGTAAGTTAACAGGAAGGAGTGTGGCCTTGACAAGAAGGGTCGGTACATCTAAATTAGGGGGTGCTCGAGATCTGTCATGCCTAGGGCAGCACAATTTTAAAATACACCACTATGGCCTAGGTTGAGACAGGGACCCAGAGAATTGCTTAAGGGTAGGTAAAAGTGAAGAGGGTAGCAGAAAATGGGATACTGTGGATTGAAGGGGGGAGAGATAATGGAGTAAAAAGCATGGGAGGGGAAGAGAGAATGGAGTAATAGCTAGGTACATCTTGCTGGGAACTCCCTGACCCCAGCGTGTACCAGCTGCCTAGACATGAGAGGAATGTAATTAAGGCTAGTAATCACACTTCTATCGTTTTAAACTACCTGATTGCTAAAAGCAATTGCTTTGAAAGCTGCTGTGACTGCACGGAAAGCCAGCAGTGTGGTGCATGCTGGGTTCTCAGTGCACCCAGAGCGCACCGGCTGCCTGCCTTTGATAGGAGAAATATGGGGTTCCCCGGGTGGATTAATGTCTTGCTTTGCCACTGGCTATACCTCATCTAGAGAGTTACCAAACCAGATGTTATTAACCCTTTTATGGTTTTGATTGTCCAGGTTTTAACAGAATTCTCATTGGAACAGAACAAGATAATTGAAAAATCACTGACCACTCCCTTAGAGTGTAAATGTATTCAATTTCAAAATATTTCTACTTTAACAATTGTCTTCTAAATGGAGATCTATGATAAATTATAAAAAAAAAAAAATATATGCTAGTGTAGAAATTTTCATTTAGCATAGATTAAAAAAAAAAAAAAAGTACGGTGAAACATTACAAAAGCAAGTTATATGCAGTTCATTAATATTAAAAAATCCTGTCCAAAAATTCCATAAAGGTTAAAAACTGTATGAAATCAAATGTGTTCTAAACAATATTAAACAAATCAAATACAGTTATGTCATGTGTATGAACTTACATTTGTACCTGTCTGCAAGTATATTTAAGATTATTTTCTGTCACCACCCAATGATGTAAAGGAAAATCGAAGTACAAAGTTAAAAGAATAAATCCTGTTTTGTAAATGAACATGTCCTGTAACATATCACTCATGGAACAAAGCAATAATGTTTATCCTAAGTTACTGGAAAGTACTTGTCTATTTCTCAAAATCTTTTAATTTGCCAGTTGCTGTGTTGGAAGCCCATGACTGGGTTTTTCGACTATGTAGGCGTCACTCTGTCGGCGAAAAATCACTTTATTACAGAGGGTCAAAAGGTCACGGTGTCTACAATGACATAATTAATATTCAAATCTAGTTATCAGACTGATCATTGCTACAAATGTTTTACAGCTTAAATATGCCCATTTTAAAATGCACATTAATATTTGACTATATACATGATTTTAAAACAATAAGTGGGATTTGTGGAGCATTTGTAAATCAATCTTCTAAATATGTTATTGTTTTAAACTGTATTTTATTTGATTATATACATGTACAGTGCATTCAGAAAGTGTTCAGACACCTTCATATTCCCACCATTGTTTAATATTGCAGCCTTGTGCTACAATTGTTTGAATTTATTAATTTTTCACATCAATCTACACTTAATACCAAATAACGACAAAGCAAGATAAAAAGTGAATTTTTTTACACCATTGCAAATATATTAAACAGAAAAAAATTAAATATCACATTAAAACAATAATTCAGACCCATAACTCAATATTTAATTGACTCACCTTTGGCAGCTATTACAGCCTCAAGTCCTTGGAATGATGTGAAAAGCTTTGCACACCTGGATTTGGGTAGCTTCAGCAGATCCTCTTAAGCTCCCAATCAGGTTGAATGGGAACAGTTGGTGGACAGCTATTTCCAGGCCTTTCCAGAGATGTTGATTGGGTTTAAGTCCAGTCTTTTACTGGACCAATTAAGGCCATTCACACTGTTGCCCATAAGACTTATTAGAATTGTCTTGGCTGTGTGCTGAGGGCCATTGTCCTGTTGGAATATGAATATTCCATCCATGCACAGGAATAGTCTTTGTGATAGGGTATACATTGCAAACTTTGCAAATCTTAGCCTTTTCACCCTGTTCCCCTTCCAAAAAAGTGGGTTCTTGGCTGCTACCATTCCGCAAAGACATTCCTGATCAAACTTATTCAGTAGAATGGTCAACTTGGCATCCCGATGAAGCTGCCAAATGCTGAGCCAGGTCCTTGCTGGACTTGTTCCGGTCTCTCTAAGGAACTCAAATGCTTCTTATACGATTTTGAACGTTTTCTTGGCCTTCCAGTTCTTTTTGGGTCCATGACCTATGCTGATTTTTCAAATATCTTTATAACAACTTGAATACCACTTCTTGAATATCCAGCTTGTTTACTGATTTCCCGTTGAGAGGGGTCTTGCATACGTACTTCATACAAATTTCCTGCATTTTCTGGTTGTGTTCTAATAAAGATACTGAGGAATAATTATTTATGGTCATTATACCATTGCTAAATCAACAAATCAAATTGTGACCTAAGACTTTTGCACGGTACTGTATAACTATATAAATATATAATAGAATAAACTGTAGCACCTCCAGGTCTCCCAAAATGTGATGTCACGATTCAAATTTAACACAGCAAGTCTATTTCAAAGTTTCGACTCTAAAGGGTCATTATCATATCTTGTCATAATATAGTGCAAAGGTAATCACCACAAAGCACAAAAGACATTAAACATTTAACTATCTCAAGTAGATTGTCATTTGAAGAACCAATCCTTATTAATTATATTCAAGTAGAGCACCCATTATTTTCACAGAGTATGTAAGAAATCTGTGGCACAAAAGGAACTTCTTGTGATGTGATCTTATCTAATATATGATACAGAATAAATGGTGCAGAAGCATTTCACCAGCCTAGGGTTTATGAGGTGTTTTAAAGTGAACATGTTATGAATAATTTCCCTTGTAATAAAGCACTGGTAAATACATTGGATACGCCATTTATCACAAATATACATGGTGTATTCAATGTAAAATATAAACATTTGCTCACTTACCATCTTCATGCTTTGTCGGTGTTACTCTTCACCCCCAGACTGTCCTCTGCTGTTCTTTCTTGATTTGCTCTGTTGGGGACGCGTCCCCAAGCAGGGCACATCTCAGTGATGCTGGCACACTGACTTTGCTGCCAGTATGCCGGTGTCGGAACAGAGTGACGTCACATCACTCTGTTTCTATACACCCCAGCCAGCGCTAGAAGCATAGGCAGGGGATTTTCCATAGCAACCACTGAAAAAAAATGGGCTTTTTAAAAAAAAAAAAGTCCCGATATCTTGACATGAATAGTCGCTCGGCTCCTCGGCAGCTGTCAGGGTTTAGTCAGGAAGAGGTGCTGCTGACACCGTGTCTAATCAATGAAACAGTTAAGTTACAACCCAATATGCAGGGAATGAGGACACAACACAGGTAAAGTGAAGCAAATATATTAATGGATAAAACACAAAGCAAGCGAGTTTCAATAACAATATAGCAAATATACAGGAAGAGAAATCAGGATGCAGACCGGGAGCAGAGTTCAAGTTATTGTTAGGTCTAAGACAGTAACTTAGCGACAAGCATTGGCAGCAGGAAAGCTATAAGGAGCAGAATACAAGGTGATCCTCTGGAGTCACAAAAGGGAAAAACCACCAGACATCAAAACAATACATCAACCATGAACTAATCTTCTCGCCAAAAGAGGGCAACTTGAAGCAGAAGCAGATTACATCAGTCTGAGTGTAGCAGTCTGCAACAGTATCACTGCAAGTTAGTGGCAATGTGGGGTACTGCACCAGACGTAAGAGATACAAAAATCAGGACGTTCGAATGGAATCGTGACAGCGGCATTTTTGCACATTAGTAAATGGAGGAGAGCTATAACCTGCAGATATAATCATGACAGATACAATTTGTTTTCTAATATTTGTCTGAACCATGTCAGTAGATGTGATTTTTTTTCTGTAATATGGGCACTGTCCCACATCCCCCTACGAACCAGCCTCACCATTCAATTAAAGGGATGCACAAGCGGGAATCTGCTTGTCTGAAATTTTTAATCACATGTCCAAGCAGATGTATGCCACTATGGAAAGAAATGCCTGAGCGTTTGAGCACACAAGGAACATAATGAAACTAACGCCTCACTAAAACATGGATCATAGTGGTTACTGTGTTATATATTTACTTCTGTCATTCTATTCACTTCAGTAGGTATATCAAGAGCTTTTGCTGGGCTAAGAAGAGTGAACAAGGAACATTAGAATGAACTCTAACTCGTAGTGCCATTCTGATTGTTATCTTCTGGGTGACATATTGGTGAGGCATGGAGGGTGTATGGTAAATGCTCTTGCAATGAGATGCCTCTGGTTCACAGAGTGTAAAATACAGTTTTCTCCTTATCTTTAGGATATTAACTATCTCTAAAAAGTTTGTCCTTACGTAAGTTTGCATATGTTATGAAAACTAATGTGCAAATAGTAATGAATTAAATATTACACTTTCTTATCGGAAATTAATTAGTAACATAGGTTCTTTGCTGAAAGTAAGCTGTCTGCCATATCTGCTTGTTTCCTCTGATCGCCATGGGTATATATGAGCTTCTTGTACAGAGCACTTCTGTAATGGGAGTTGTACCCTAACACTAAGGAAAAGTGGAAACCCACAAAAGGTAGATCCAAAATAAGTATTACTGAGCCTTAGAGTGGCCGAACTTAACATGTTACTATAGCGAGAAACAAGGTCAGGATAAGCCAAGGTCAGGAATACAAAAATACACCGAGTATAAACATGCCAGGTCAGGATACCAGAAAATCACGAGTCAAATACAAAGGCAGGCCAGGATACCAGACATCACAAGTCAAATACTAAGCCAGGTTAGGATACCAGAAATCACAAGGTAATCTCTAGGAGCACTAATCGAGGATCTAACAAGAAACTATGATAGGGCAATGAATGGGGGCTAAAACAAGCCTTAACTAGGGTTAACTGTTTCCTGATTGGTCCACATCATAATTGCGACTC